ACATGGTGAGGGAATTCTTTCCTTCAAAAACTAATATTTTATTTTTTTATGTAAAATAATTTCCATTTCGAATATGACTAATTTCTAAACTCTGATTTTACAAAAAAGACGGCAACGGAAGGCCAACTCTTTTGCCTTTTATCGTAAATTCCCCTTTTTTTTCATGAACAAGATGGGAAAATGGTAAATTGCTAAAATAGTCATTTGGGCAGATGTCCGTGAAATAGTTGTAATAAGAAACAAGCTGTCATCAGTTTAATATAGTTGGTTATATTGTTCCTTTAACTTTTTTACAGACGGCTACATATTCACTGTGAAACACTCAGCCCAAGGTCCTGTCGAAGTCAAAGAAGCAAAGACAAGACAGTATGATGTTACCCACTCCAGTTATTCCTCAACTCATGTGAATCATAAGGACAGAAAACCCGAGATACAACACAAGGTTGTTTAATAAATTATTGTATATTCTTGGGCAATTCACTTAATGTCTCTGAGTTTACTTATAAATGAGAAATTAAAAAATGACCTCTATAGTCCTTTTCAACCCCCAAATCCAATGATCATAGTGACATAATTAACTGTTTAAGACAAATATAATGATCTCATCATCTATCAACTACTTCACACAAATTATTTTGCAAAACTTTCTGAAGTAGGTATATTTTATTCTGATTTCAGTTTCACAGATATGGACACTGAGACAAAAAGAGACGAATACCTTCTCCAAGATCACAAGGGCAGAAACAAGATATGAACCCAGAGAGATGTCCTCAAAGGTCTGCATTTTCCTTCTTACTTTTCATTCGGCTTAATTTGATTTTTAATGGAAGGAAGTCATCATGCATCATGTACATGAAATGAAGTTCATAGATTTCAGTGTAGAGGTTCATTACTTTGGACAAACCCAAATAACCCCCATCCCAGTAAAGATCTGGGATACTTCCATCACCTCAGGAAGTTCCCTCAATAGCTTTAGAAGGAAGTGAGGTGTCAGAGCACAGCCCACAAAGAACTGAATCCTGACAACAACGCTGTCAGTGAGAGAGAGAGAAAACTACGAAGGAGCTCCATCCCAGGTGAGGCTTGAGATGAGTGTGGTGTTCTAAGAGGATCCAGAACCATATAATCTAGATAAGCTAGACAAACTGTGCCTGGATTGCTGACCCACAGAAACACAATAATGTTGCTTTAAGCCACTACATTTGGGATAATTTGTTGGGCAGCAACAGAGAACGACACAGCGACAACAGGCTTGTAGTAGGATTTGCATTGCATTGGGAGATTCAGTGCAGTGTTCAAAGACGCATCCTCCGGATTGGAGGCTGTCAGAAAGTGAGGACAATTCTATGATTGGGCGTCTTAATAATTTTTATCTAAAAGGCAGGAAGAACATGGTGACCTTAGAGGTCACGTGGTAAAGAAACAGCAGTCATTTGCATTAGCAATGAGAGGGAGAAGTAGACTTTTGGTGAGGTTGGTCTGGACAGTTTTTGTTTCGTATTTTGCCCAAATAATTCTGGAATGGTCTTGGTTTTGTCTTGCTCCTTCATGGTCATTGATCGTTTTTGATTTGCTGTTTTTTAAAATTGTGTATGTTCATTTAGAGAAAATCTCTAAGACCCAGACCAGCTACCTCCCAGTTGATAGCAGTCAGGGTTTTTTTCTCTTTTTCTCAAGGTACCTGATGATCAAGGTACCTGATGATTCTTGAATATTAGGTAGTGAAAATTAAGAAATCGGGGAAAAAATCTTAAAATTAATTGTGTTGACTTATATACACACCATCACTATATGTTCAAAATGTGATTTTTACATCGTTTGCATTGATTACATTGTTATCTCTAATCTACTATGTGTACTTCCTACTAGGTACAATCTAGGAGGGTTGGAAAGTACAATTAGTTTAAAACCATGAAGGTATCATTCAGGAAAATTATTATCTTGTAAGCTTCACTCACATGTCAAGAACACTCAATTCTCATTCTGCATGTTGTATTTTCTAAGACCTGATCCCATGCTTAGAAATAAAGTAGTAAGAAAGACGACGAACACAATAATCATTGTGAACACTGCATACACAGAGAAAAGCAAATGTAGTTTCTAACCTCAAAGGCTGGAGAACTTGGCCTTGTATTGCTGGTTCATTCAGGGTGGAGGTGAATGGCAAGCTGAGAAGGAGGTGGTACTTCCAGCTTGTGTTAATCTGCTGAGCTATTCAAGTTTTCCTTTAAATGACGTCAATATCCTTAAAATCCACTTCTCGTTTCTGGAAATCCTCTCCCTTTGTATATGGAAGGGCTAGGTTGGCATCGTATCTTTCTCAATATAGCAACTAGATTACACTATATATATGCTATATAAGATTTCAAGTGCAGATTAACAGATTTCATACAGAGATTAATTGATGCCAGAGATAAAAAATAAAAAAGATCCAAAAAATGAGAAATACACTCATTCCAAATGCTCCTTTATTAGAAAGCACAAAGTTACGTCACATGTATTTTTGTTGGATCATATGGGTGAAACCTCACTGGCATGTCCACTAACACATGAATCAGTCAAAAGGGGAATGTTAATATTTAAACAACTTGCGTTAACCTTTTTAAGAAAAAAGTATCAGTACCTTCTGGACATACCAAAAAAATTAATAAAACACAATCTGGTGTTTACATACACTTAATCAGTATCCTAAATAACGCACACAGCAGCACCTCTGCTCCGTCTTTCAGTGCGTTCCTTTGATTACTGCTCCTTTTCAATCTACATGATATGCTTCGGAGGGGCTGACTCATGGAGTTGAATCTGTGGTGGGAAAAAACCACATTCCCATCAAGGTGGCCCCAAGAGACAAAAACAGTTGCTCAATCAAATAAAAAAAGCAAATAGATCGCAACACCACTCTAAAAGTCAAAACATGTTCCCATTTTCTGGTCGGCAGCAATGCTGGGGAACTAAATGGAATCAGCTCCTCTACTGTCCTGTCCCCAACTTTTACGGGATGAGAGTGTTCTATTCTGCACAACCTGGGGGTTGAGTGTTTGCTCAAGTACCTTGAATAGAGGGCAATAAATGCTGAAGAAAATAACACCTGTGGTCTCAATTGTTTTTTACAGTTTTTTTTTTTTTTTCATTTTGTAGGCTGTTATTTCTTGGTCTAAGTTTTGATTTTTGTATTTTTGACTTTCTTTTTAAAATGATCTCCCCATGCAATAGATATCTTCCAATAACATGCTCTTTTCTTTCTCTTTCTTATTGAAAGAATAATAGCAGAATTACTTGGATCTCTTCTCTTTCCTATTTTTCATCCCTGCATTGTTTGTTTATCTGTTTTATTTTGTTTGGTGTTTCCACTTTTAAGAGTTTCCGCAGGTTAGAAATAGTCAAGAAAATTTCGATTTCATTTTAATATTATTTCACTTATTATTTTATTTATTTCACTAATTCACTTATTAATGAATTAAATAATAGAACTTATTTCATTTTCTAAGTTCTTTTCAGTTTCCAAGCATGATGGATTTTTATGGAAAAGAGCAAAAGAACCTAAAATGATCAAACAGGCAAAATTCACTTTTGAGAGAAGAAAACTCAAGGTCCCGGGCTTATTTAAGCTAGGCGAAAGATGTTTACATTTGAGCTAGCAGCATTTTATACAGACTTGCCTCCACTGAATTCATATGATCTGTCATCTAAAAACCTTGCAGAAAATGCAATAGAATGTTTCTTCAAGGTATGATAGTTTAATTCAAATTTTATCATGTTCAGCATATCTCAGCTATCAGGTAACTTAAATGAAATATACTTTAAAATGATTGTTTCTGTTTTGTCTAAAAGGTAAAAATAAAACAAATAAAACAAAAAGTCAAGTTTACTTGATCTTTGAGTGAGTAAATCAGAATCTGTTAATACCTAAGTTTTAACATGAAGAAGTAAACTGACTAACCCCAAGTTGCAGCTGGCCAAGACAAATTTATTCTCAAAATGAGTAATTTCCTTAGCTTCAACATCAGCTTTACAATTCTCAAAAGGATTATATGTCAATTATATCCCAATAAAGCTAGGGGGAAAAGAGTTCCCAAAAGGAAATTACTCACTTTAAAGATAAATGTGTATTTTTACAAAGAGAAATGGATTTCTAAGTTGTCAAAGATTACAATTATCCTATGATGATCAGTTTTTGAAAAGCACATATTCTGAAATTCTTGTTCGTGTTGATATTCTTTAACATATCATTCTTTATTCTCTCGTTGCTATGCTAAGAATTTCATAAACACTGGAAGGAATAAGAATTCTCATTTCATAAGATTTGGCTGGGGGTAATTTTTGTGTTGTCTTCAAAGTGACTTTTTAAAACATAAGACATTTTCCTCAGATCTACTTATAATTATTGTAGATATCAGCAACCTAAGTCTATGAAATTTCCAAGTCGTCATTTATAATAATACAAAAATAACTGAAGGCTAATATAATTCCTTAGGCCTTATAAAAATTGAGTTTTTTTAGATAATTATTTTATTATTTTAAAATTGCCATTACTTCTGGTTTGGCCAGAAGGAATTACATCCAAAACAAACAAAAACTCTGGAAAAAAATTTTTTTTTCATTCCATTGCTCTCACCTTGAAATTTTGAAGCCAACCAAGAATCATTTTTCTTTCTGAATTGCACTAGTCTTTTTAGTTTCTCTGTTAGTTTACGAAGCACTAAAGAAAACACAAAACAATAAACATTAGGCAAGGAAATAGCATAAACTGGGAATCGTTACCATCTGCTAAATGAAATGACCTCCACAGTCTCCATTCCACCCTCTCCCCACTCAGCATCCCCATGGTATGGTCCATGCACAGAATTTTCATTGCATTTTGAAGTATCAGGTCAGCTCAACCGAGGCAATAAGCATCTGAAAGAAACAGCGTCTACTGCATTGGAAAGAATGCACACACATAAGAAAGAGGAATAAACAAAACAAGAAAGAAAAAAACAAAAAAGAAACACTGCAGAAACTAATAATAAGTACACAAAGTACACAAGTGTATTTATTACATTTTGCAAGCACTTTGTTCTACATTTCAAAAACGCCACCATCAAGCTGTTGGCACATTTATGTACAAAACAGATTAATTGTAATGCCTGCTACAAAGCACTCTTTGTGAAAATACAAACTCTAATACCAGAAAAAAAAAAAGCGCCAAAAACATCAACATCATTACATAAGTTTAAAAGACAGTTTTAAAAATCATCACAAACTATTAAGACACAGAACCGAAACACTACAATATAGAATTTAAAGAAGCCCATTAATACTTTTGCTGAATATCTGTAATACTGCATGTATCAGAAAGATGTTGAACCAGTAAGATAATCTAAGTGTAAAAAAAAAAGAAGCAAAACCCCAAATTAATTAAATAATACTACAGAATGCATAATCATGCCACAGATAAGCTAGTAATACCCCCCTTCCTACTACAAGAACTTGTAAAATTATGGATGATGCATGACTAGTCATTGTACAAAGATTGTTTCACTCAATAAGTTTTATTAGAAATGCACTTACACTGAGAAAAGATTTCACAATGGTCAAATCAGTGCACAATACTACCTAGTTTTTACACTGACAGCAAAGTCTCGTCAGGCTATATCATTTTAAAAGACACTTTACAGCATTCTTGTAGCATTAGAAATAACCGAAAGAAGAGTTAAGGTTAAAACAAACACCAAATTTGGTCCAATAATACTGATTGCTTTTTTTTTTATTCTTTTGATATAGGTACGTCTTATAAATGAATACGAATGAACATTTGGTTAAAATGACTTACTGGAAATAAAAACACAAATATATCACTACACTTCAAAAGGATACATTGTAGAGTGGCCTCTGACCACACTTTAAAAAACACTACAGGTAAACCGACATAGATTGGAAGGCTGCAAGCAAAGCTATTGTATTAATGGAAACCTTTTCAAATATATCATACACAATTTGAGGGATAGTTTACAGAGGTGCAATCCATTAAAATTTTTTAAAGTAGGTAAAACAACTTCAGAGGGGTTAGTGTGCTTATTTTTAATACACCACCTTCATAAAGGTAATTAATGTCCCACATTAACATATTAAAAGTTCCAATCCAGCCACTGCTTAAATCACAAAGAGATCATTTGCCAATAGTCCACAGTAGTTATTTCCGTTAAAACAGTCTCTATACTAAACTTTAAAAGGTAAGCCTGGTGTCACAATCTTAAAAAGGTAGGTAGCCATGCATAAGCATCATTGTTTCTACATGCTCACGACAGAAACATGAGTCATCAGAGAGTAATGCCTTTTAAGTACATCAAGAAAAAATACAATGTTAACAAAGATAAGAAGCACTTTTTTTTTAAACCTACTCTTACAAATTTAGAAATTGCACCTTAGATTGATGAAAACATTAACCAGGGCCTATAGCAACGTGGCCACTGATCTTCAGACAAGATTTGCATGTTTCGGGTCATCATGATATCATCTCTGTCTATCGTTCATAATGTACAATGGTCCCTTTGAAGGTTACCTGTAGTTAAACTAGTTACCGAAATCAAAACTAAAAAGTATAAAAAGCTATTTTTCTTTTCAAAACATAAGAAATAATGCAAAAGGTATAATGTATAACACATGGAAGTGGTTAAAAATCAAAGAAATCTCTGCATTTGACAATGTTAGTCTCTTTGATCTTACAGAATTATTAAATGAGTTTGAGAAATTTAAAAAAGAAAAAAAAAGGCTGGATAGGAGCTTGTAGGAGAGCTCTGATTACACCAATTTAACAAATTAGGAAATTAAGTGCTAAACAACAAAGAACTGTATTCAGGTGATTCATAAGTCACCCTCCATATCATTGATGAGAAGCACTTTCATTTTCTTTTTCAAAAGGTTGGATGGTTGGATGGCCCTTAGATAATCACCAATGCATTTGAATGGTGGAAAGGACGGGAAGGCGCTGTTTATGTGTATGCGTTGAGCCGCTCTTTGGAGCGAGTAGAGTGGATATCATGAAGTTCCTGTTCCTCCTTCGACTTGATGTCCTCATACTTCTGCATCCGGCAGGCATCTTTCACATAAGCCCAGTTGGCAGACAGAACCATAAGGTAGTGGACCTAATCAAAGACAAAGATAATTTATACTGGAAGTCTGTTCTGTGTCTTCATTACACCTTGCTATCAGGAAAGAAATATTCTAATTATATACTTATATAGAATATGTTCATTAACAAAATGGAATGAAGATTTCTGCTGTAACACAAAGAATATAAATACAATATATTCCTTCCTCAATCCTCCAACTATGACACTGTCTTCTCAGCTCCCTTTTTTCAGTATCTTTCTTCTCTTTCAACTCCGAAGTACCCAAGGGTCTTAATTCAATATTTTTAATCTTTATGTGATGTTTCCTGTCCTTTTGTCCTCATTTACTCAAACTCAGACTATACATTTCATGTTTATGTATTTATGTTTTCTAATCCACTGTGGGAAACAGTCTCACATACAGTGGAGTCCAGTGAACTTGAATTAATGAGATGATATATTGCCCACAGTGCAACGGGAAGAGGGCTCATGGAAACCCCAAAATAAACCTGTAGATTTAATTAACAAGTTAATTTTCCATACAGTGAATTTTGCACAATGAATTTTATGTTGCCAACTACAAGAAAGCAAGCACTGTGTCATATGAATCATGAATATTTATATACGTTCATAATAGCTAGAATAGTGCCCTGTTCAAAAAGGAAGCTCCTGATTTTTCCTGAATAGACTGACCAATGAGATCACTTATTTGTTTTTCTTTCTTTCCCTCCCTCGTAGTCTATGAGAGAGAAAAAGTAATTTTCGAAATGGTGAATTTTGATGGACGAATAGGAAAAAGAAACTAAGTTGTCAGGTATATACTTTCTCTGAGCTTTAAAGGGTACGCTTTTTTTTTTTTTTTTCGGTACACGGGCCTCTCACTGTTGTGGCCTCTCCCATTGCGGAGCACAGGCTCCGGACGCGCAGGCTCAATGGCCATGGCTCACGGGCCCAGCCGCTCCGCGGCATGTGGGATCTTCCTGGACCGGGGCATGAACCCGTGTCCCCTGCATCATCAGCAGGCGGACTCTCAACCACTGCACCACCAGGGAAACCCCTAAAGGGTAGGCATTATTTTTATCCATAATTTAGTAAAATAGAACACTAAAATTTTTTATGGAAGTATAGTTCATATTCTATATTATGTACAGTATAGTGATCCACAATTGTTAAAGGTTTTATTCCATTTATAGTTATTATAAATTTGGCTATATTCCCTGTGTTATACAATATATCCTTGTAGCTTATTTTATACATAATAGTTTGTACCTCTATTTTTTTTTTTTTTTTTTGCGCTATGCAGGCCTCTCACTGTTGTGGCCTCTCCCGTTGCAGAGCACAGGCTCCAGACGCGCAGGCTCAGCGGCTATGGCTCACGGGCCCAGCCACTCCGCGGCATGTGGGATCTTCCTGGACCGGGGCACGAACGGGTGTCCCCTGCACCGGCAGGCGGACTCTCAACCACTGCGCCACCAGGGAAGCCCAGTTTGTACCTCTTAGTCTCCTACCCCTATGTTTCCCCTCCTCCCTTCCCTCTCCCCACTGGTAACTGCTGGTTTGTTTTCTATATCTGTGAGTCTGTTTCTTTTTTGCTATATTCACTAGTTTGTTGTACTTTTTAGATTCCACATATAAGTGATATCATTCAGTGGTTGTCTTTCTCTGACTGACTTATTTCACTTAGCATAATGCCCTTCAGGTCCATCCATGTTGCTGCAAATGGCAAGATTCCCTTCTTTTTCATGGCTGAGTAGTATTCCATTATATATATATATGTATCACATCTTCTTTAACCACTCATCTGTTGATGGACCCTTAGGTTTCTTCCATATCTTGGCAATTGTAAATAATTCTTCTATGAACACTGGGGTATGTATCTTTTTGAACTAATGTTGTTTTTTTTTCTGGATATATACCCAGGAGTAGAGCTCCGGGGTCATATGGTAGTTCTATTTTTGAAGAATGTTAAAGTTTTGATGAGTCAAAACAGGAAGTAGGCTGGTTCTAGAAAAGTAGGGATGGACATAAAGAATCCAAGGTCAATTCTAAATGGTGACTACTGTAGTATGTCAAGGCAGTCAATGGACAGCAGAAAGAAATTAACAAAACAATTTTGACACAATGATACAGGAAAGAGATGTATACCAATAAGAAAATGAATAAGAATTAACTCATCATTTTTGCGTAGTGAACTGGCTATACCATGGGTGAGTTTACTGGGCGCCTTCTAGAGCTCTATGCTACTTATATTCTAGGACACAAGGACTGAGGACCTGGGCTGCAAAAGCTCTGACTGATGTGCAGAGTACATTGTTCACTGTTGCCACCTGGCATTCCCTTGAACAAACCGGAATTCACGGTGAGTTACGAAGAAGGGACGGTGTCTAGCACATTGTAGGTCCTCAAAACTCAGTAAAAGCCTGACTTTCCGGACTCGTTCTTAATATTTCTGAAGAAAGTTAGATACAGAAGACACGACATGAGACTACCAAGGTTTATGTGGGGAGAAATAAATGAATCCTTTTTTCCTAAGTGACTCAGTGTGGCTTTTATACGTTCTGATTTAAGGAGGAAAAAAGGATAAGTCAAGGAATTGATTAAATTACTTGACTATCCCACTGATACATACTTATATGCTAAAGAAATGATTTTTTATGTTAATAGTAGACTCGTATCTAAAATGCTACTTATTTTGGTTAGTGCTACCAATATTACGGAGTATCTGAATTCTTCAAATGATTACCAAATATTAGCTCTATTGTAATGATAGTCCTTCTTTAGGTTAAGCCTTGTTTTTCACTTATTTATTTGCCCATTCTCCTCCACCTTTTTTTTTTTACTTATATTAAAATACATATGATTTGTATAGACTTCAGACATTAGAGGTAAATTATCGTCTCTACAGGCAAAGTGCAACACCAAGCTTGAGGTCTTACCATAGCGATGACTGCAGCCCCAGCTCCGGCAAGGGCCACGATGAACAAGTGGAAGGTCATGTTCAGCTGCAAAGGAAACCACAGAGAAACAGAATGAACATCAGGGTTACAACAGAAGAGAGATAAGGATGCCTGCTGCCTTACAAATAAGAACTCTGTTCACCTTTAACAGAAGTGCACCCGTGACAAATCACTTCACCAAAAACATTATTACAGTATCTTTTCTCCTGCAAGTTATTTAAATCTTTGCAACTGCACCATTTTAATGTAATTTCATTTTAAAGATGAAATCATGATTAATAATGATGGTTTCCAGTAACAGTATAACCACAGAAGGCTATGTTATATCCTTTAAAATATAACTTTATAAAAAAAAATATATATATAACTTTATGATTTTTCAACTTTCATTAAAATGACAGTTTCTAGAAAAAAAATTATAATTTTTATCGAAATATGCAGAGTATCTCATATTTATTTTCTAGTCCCTCTGCACAACATCACTGGATGTGACCTTGCCTCTGAAAGAAAGAGGGGGAAACTCAATGTCGATTTAATTATATATTCCTCAAATAACGAAATGAACCTCAAATTCTGACAAAATTAAAGGCTGTGAAAACACTCACCTCAGTGGATTCACACATCCTCAGGAAATTCTCCGAGACAGTGCAAATTTTCTTTTCCTCTCCAATTGTCACAATCCCTGCAACATGGAGAAAATTACAGTTTAACATTATAAATGTCTTCAAGATCCCAGAGAGAGAAAAAGAAACTTGAGCTGATAAAATCTAAGCAAGTTTCACTTTGTTATATTGTAACAAAAATTGTTACAAGCTTTCATTGCTTGACAATAATTATGAAAAAACTGAATGAAAGATCAAGACTATTTAGGCCTCAAGCAATTAAAAACATTTTCAATCTGAATTCAATGGAATCTAGCCACCAGAATCTTCATATTCAATTGTAGCTACTTCATTGGTTTGGTCCATTAATGTCATGGTGTAGGCATCAGGGCTTCCCTGGTGGCGCAGTGGCTGGGAGTCAGCCTGCCGATGCAGGGGACATGGGTTCGTGCCCCCGTCCGGGAGGACCCCACATGCCGCGGAGCGGCTGGGCCCGTGAGCCATGGCCGCTGAGCCTGCGCGTCCGGAGCCTGTGCTCCGCAACGGGAGAGGGCACAACAGTGAGAGGCCCGCGTACCGCAAATAAATAAATAAAAGTGTTCTGCTGGTACAAAGCCTCTGTTAGTCTATAAAATGTATTGCCCAAAGGAGCAGTTTTTCTCTGCTAATTCTGAAAACAGTGCTATTAGTAAGGGGAAATAAAAAGCTGCCATTTCATTACTATTTACCCTTGCTCCAGTTGGTTTATGGACCGACTGCATCAGAATCTCCTGGGGAGCTATCACAGATATGTATCTCTGGACTCCACCACAGGACTGTTAAATCAGAATCTGTGACTGTTTGCCAGGAGTACTGCATTTTTAACAAGCACATAGGTGATACGCTGCCACAGTCCTCATGTTAGAGAAGGGATCAAGTTCATCCTAAAATGGGTCTTTGATTTTGTTTGGAGAACTACTGAAGTGTTAAACACATATATACATGAGCAGAAAAATTCACAAGTTCTGGGCAAACTAATACCTAAGCGTTTAGCACTTGCTGCATAATAATATATGCACATATTATTGAGTTTTAATATGTACGTATATACACACCTTCTTAGCTTTGAGGTGCACCATCCACTGTCCATATCTGTGGAGCTGCTACTGTCCTGCATTGCCAAGAGTTTGGGCAATTATTTCAGTTAAAAAAAATCTACTTGCAGTACCTCGAATGCAGAGATCCCTCTCTGCGACCTTCCCTTTTTGCCAAGACAGCTCTAAGAGGGGGTAAAAAAGAACCTCCAGAAGATGTGACTAGTGAACCATCATTAGTGAGAAAGCTTCCCAGGAAAGGCCATCTTTCTCCATGTTGATCGATTACAGATTTCATTCATTCACGTGGAATACCTTGGCTGTGCGTACATTTCCTCACCCATTTCTTTATTCACATTCACAGCAAAACTTCCAGGAAGTGTTGCCTTTGCTCAGTCTGCAATTTCTTTCTTTCCATTTCTGCTTAAACCCTTTCTAGTCAAATTCACCCAATCCTCCATGGAAATTTTTCTTATAGAGCTCACCCATACCCTCCAAATGGTGAAAGCGGAAGACGAATTCTCGGTTCTCCTTGTACTTGCCAGTCTGCAGAACTGGAGGCAGGTGATGACTTCTGCGTCCTTCATGGTCTCTTCACTTGGGTTCCAAAATCTACAGTCTCTTGTTTTTGCCTTTCTGCTCTCATCGGCTTCTCCCTCTCAGCATCTCTGTCTGGTTCCTCCTCTCCGCTAGGACCCCTTTCATTGGTGCTTCCCAGTGTTCAGTCCTCAGTCATCTGTCTCCTTTGCTGATCTCATCCTGTCTCAGAGCTTTTAAAGACTTCAAACATTATCAAGACTCCTAAATCCATATAGCCAGGCCCATAGTACTCTCCTGAAATTGACACCCATATATCCAATTTCCTACTTGACAACTCTGTTGAGATGTCTAATAAGCATCTAAAAATTAACATTGTCAAAACTGAACTTTTGATCTTCTCCCTCACCTGCCCCACTCCTGAGTAAGCTCTTCTGGTTGGCTTTCCCGTCTCATCTCATAGCTAATCCATCTTTCCAGTTGCTCAATCAAAAAATGAATTCTTTCTTGAATCTTCTTTTTCTCTCAACCCCACATACAATCTATCAGGACATTCTGTTGTCTCTGTCTGTATCCATCATAATCCACATTTTGGGGAGTGAACGTTCTTTTCTATTCTGATGCCCCTTGTTTATAACTTGATTGTATATGAACATTCAGCATTCCTGTTAAGGACCTATTATTTGGAGGGTAAGTAAGTGCTATCCAGGCGGTAGATTCTGTGTTAAGAGCAAACAGAAAGCCTTTAAGACTGATGTAAAAGGTTTCATGACATCTGAAAAGTGCCTTCCCTTCCATGTCACAAAGAAAAGCTAAACTGGCGTAAATCCTGGTAACTATGTTGTAAACAGTGCTAAGGTTCAAAGAGCAGCTTTAATCATAGTCATGCTTTACACTTACTGGAATTAGGTCCCGTATAATATTTGAGACATACTGGACTAAAAAAAATATTGCTTGTTTATTTCAAACTCAAACTTAACTGGGAGTCCTGTAATCTACTTGGCAACCCTCTCTGTGACACTAGTCACATCTTTTCCAATCTTAAGTTTTCAGATCAGCAGAATTAAAGGAAGACATTGGAGTATGTGGGGTGGTGGTTACTGAAGTCAGGGCCGTGGTTTTCCAAGCAGGTATTTTCCAGTGACCTGCATCCAGCAGCTGGGGCCGACGTTTCCTTTTCCTGTGTTTACGTGGGACGTGATTCTGAAGTTAAAACCTCCCCAGTGGAAGAGCTGTCCACATTCCCTTCATCATCTTCTTGCCAAGAACCTCATGCACAGAGCAGATCATCCTGCTTTTCATTCGGGCCAGACAATGGGGGCTGGGGGCTCCTTCTGACAAGAGGGTGGGCGGGCCACACTTTTGGAACACACGGCTAGCTGGGGATAGACTAGTTCTATCTGTACCCTACAATCTGTCTACAGTATAACCTTAGAGCCACAGGCTTGCACATACCATCTACTGAAATGTTTCCCACTTGCCTGAAGTATGAGGAAACCCCCATTAGAGAAAAACATTTAGAACGTTCTTTAGATTTTAATAGCTGTGTTGTGAAAAAAAGTCCCTTTGAGCCTGTGAATTTGCATATCTTTTATAAATTCTGTAGCCCCCATGTTTTTACAAATGATGGGATAGAATTCTAAACAGGTTAGGTGAGATTAGACTCTACACGTTCATAGTTCAGTACTTGTTTTGACAGGAGAGGCAGTTAATTTCTAGCTAAGAAAAGACTGAAGCTAGTTGGGGGTGAATCCTGGCTCTGTCACTTACTAGCTGTATCGCCTTGGGCAGGTAATTGAATCTCCTGGTTCCTCAATTTTGTCATTTATAAAGAGGATAACAGTGTCTGCCATATTTAATTATTGTAAGAATTAAAACATGTCAACATATACAAACCATTCAGAATAGGGTCTACACATTGTAAGTCCCTATCTACATAAGAAAGTATTATTATTATGTGAGGTTTTAGGCCTAAATAAAAATAACCAAAGAGGACTACTGATTTATTTAACATTTTTTGATTTTGTTATTATGAAATGCTAAGGTGTTTTGTTTTGTTTTTTGCCCTATTTCAGAAGACGAGGAAGTACATATTTCTTAGATGACCTTCATAGCAGACTTCACAGATTGTATAGTTTATCATGAGAGAATGAAAATACTATGCAAACATCACACTGAGTAGGAAAAGTTCACAGGAATCACGACAGGAAAATCAAAATGATAACTTGCCAACACCAGGAAACACAACCTGACAGCCTGTTCACATACACATGCTTGCGGGTTTATGTTGTGAAATCAACTTCCAGTCACTCTGAAATGCCTACTTGTTTCTGTTTTAAAAGAATGACTTAAACGTGAAGACTCTGATACATCTATCTCTTTGGTAGAAGAGGCAATGATGGTTCCACAGTGACTTACACTATTTTAGAGGCAGTTATTTGGGAGAAACCATACGAGCCAGAGATCCACCTACCAAACTGACGAAGGTCCAGGCAGAGATTCGCTCCCTCCACTAAGGTGGTGTTTCGGCAGATGGTCCACAGGTTGAAGTACATGTAAACTGGCAGCGAGGTGAAAGCCGTGACTCCCAGCCAGGCCAGCATGAAAAGGTATGTCAGCATAATAAACTGCAAGAGAGAAGTCGAGACAGAAAACACATCATCTACCGGAAAAGAAGAATTTTATGCTTAACTTACACAGCTCAATATCAAAGGTCTGAATGATTACAACCCAGGTAGGCACTGCAACCTGGGAAGCTGAGAGATGGTGAATATCATGGGGAACGGGAAGAAACCTGCCAGAAAACTGAGCTTCTGATGTGCAAAGGAAGAGACCATCGAGCTGCATCTTGATACCTGTTTCATTCATGTATTTATCTTAAAGATCTCACCACACATTTTTTAAACTTTAGAAAACATTAACTGGTAAATTTACAGGGGATTCTGCACAGTGAGTTAAAACCTTGTCAGTAACTTTATGTTACAACTAAATGGGCACGATTTTATATCATAAATATTTAAGCTACTTAATTGTGTTTACATTTAACATTCTAGATATGATGATTCACAAGTCATTTTAGTATATAATATTAGTGTGTATTTCTATTCCTTTTTAATGACTTCTGTAAACTTTAAATCTAAGTCTTCTTTCATGCATATTAATTTTACCTCTGATTGACTGATTGATTGACTGACCAAACATTGATGGATATGCCACTCACTTACAGTGTCCCCAGCCTAAATGTCACATTTATTTAGCAATAACAGGGGCCTTAGAGCACATTGATTAAAGGCACAGACTCCTGGGCTGGAACGAGTCTAGGCTGCTCTTTATGTCTCTGTGTCTGCCTCTGCAAGAGAATACCTCCTAAATTGATCTACAATTACAATCACAATTGTAATCTACAATTACAATCACTGCAGGATTGTAGAGAGGCTGGAATGAGATGATATGGGAAAAGCATTCAGCATCGAATCTGGCACATAAGAAGCCCAGACAAACTATTAGCTAGTTTTTATTCTAGATAGTATTACTCTGGTTACTACTACTACCATCAAATATGTATATCTGCCTGAATGATAGGACTCTACGCAATAAGGAAATTAGGCTTCGTTTCACGTTTGGAGAAAATAAAAAGAATGAGGACTTCTTCAGTCTGGGAAAGTTATTCAAAGAGGGCTCCCACTCAAGGAGAAAGACTCTAGAAAGTTTGGAAACCACCCCAAAACTGAAGAAATCTTGTTAATGGAACGCCTTGGAGTGGAAAAAGCCCTGTTTATTAACATTTTCATTATTCACCATTGTAGCTCTCCAGGCTAATTGACAGTCTCAGGAACAATGAACATGATATGGCCGCTCCACACCCAGTTCTCTGGAGGGAGCTAGTAACTCGGAACCCACGGGACAGTAATCAGTGTGCTTTTGGCTTCGTCCTCTCTATCTTGTTTTTCTTTCTGTCCCACGGGATTTTTCAAAAGCTTCTTTTGAAGGTGCTATTCACTGCAGGATGGGACGTAGCATTCAATAAGTTTAAACTCAAAGCGGTGTGGAGCCCTCTGAAACATGGTGCTGCTGCTACTCGACAAGGCAATGAAAGGAGTGACTCTTAAACCACAGTTCTGACTCCTATTTGCCATAATGTTATGGCACAGCAGTAAAACTGAACGTTACAGAGTAAATCTTTGCTGTGAGAAAATGTTTTTCATGACGACTAGTGCATAACTTTTGTTCTAAGACACAGCAGACTTTACTTTTGAATTGGAGTACCAAGCAGTTACATTTCAGGGGGCAGCAGTTCACGGTCACTAGAGTATCCAAATTAAAGATGCGAAAAATATAAGTCTATCTTCCTATTTTATGTTTCGCTTAGAGTCTGATAATTACTAAGACTGACGAATTACTTAAATTGATCAAGTGTGATTCCAGGTAAAAATTCTCTGTATGTAATAAAATATCTCATGATTATCATAAATTATTTCTAGCTTTGCACTAGAAATGTGACAGATATGCATTCTGCTGTCTGAGCATTAAATAAATAAATAACCTACTTTGTTTAAAAAATGAGGTATAATTGATACATAATATTATATTAGTTTCAGGTGTACGACATAATGATTGGATATTTGTATATATTGTGAAATGATCACCTCAATAAGTCTAGTTACCATCTGTCACCAGACATAGTTATGAATTTTTGTGTGTGTGTGATGAGAATTTTTAAGATCTCCTCTTTTAGCAACTTTCAAATATATAATACTGCATTATTAACTATAACCACCATGCTGTACATGACATCCCCAGGACTTACTTATTTCATCACTGGAAGTTTGTACCTTTTGACCCCTTTCACCCATTTTGACCACCACCTCTGGCCACCATCAGTCTGTTCTCTGTATCTTCAATAAGCTACTCTTATTAGAACAATCTCTGAGCATTTGAAAAATTCTTCTGATTTTGAAAATCTTATTTTTTCCTTTATTAACATCTATTCAGATGAAACACTTTCTGAAATTTAACTCTGCAATATCTGTTTGGGGAGTTTAGTGAAAACAAACAAATAAAAACTGGAAGAAATAAAATAACCCTGGACTTGACATCAGAGGACTGGATCACTGACATCTCACTTAAGGCTCAGTGTCACCTCCTCATTCACAAACTGGAAATTAGCAGACCTCTCTCACGGGGCTCAGATATGAAATCACTTAACAATAAACATGGTCCACGGTAAATCTTACTTAGGAAGAAATCCCAAGAGAGGAAGTTGTTTGATTCAGCAAAAAATTATTTTTCATTTCTAAAGGTGAGGTATGGACAGACTAACCTATTTACGTTGCATTTGGTGTTTATTGCCTTGAACAGCAAGGAATTTTACTTTCTAAATTCAACAGCTGTGGCCCTGTTTATAAGAAAGGAGGGAGGGATGGGTCTTGTGGAAGTCTGACATATAAAGTAGACTCAGTGGCTTTTCTTATTTCAGCCATTGTTTAATATATCACTCACATATTAAAATGCTGACCATTTCCTCCTAATTCACAAAGAAAAAAAATCTCAGTAAAATTTCCGTGGTTTGGTTTAGATTAGTTAACTTGTTGATCTGCGATGGTAAAAAAAGCCACCATTAAATGATAGGGACTGAGTGCCAGATTCATAATTAGTATCCAGCAATCTCATTATCACATCATTATTTGAGTACCGTTTCATCAGAACATGCAAATGACTTTCACAATAGCATCTTCTTGTTATCCTATTTCTTGTTTTGTTTTTGTTTTTACTCAAAATACATTTGTTGATGGTTAGTATTAAATTCAACAAAATTGTTGTGAATTACTTCTTAGTGGCTTAAAATTTTAAAAGAAACATGTGATTATTGCTTTGATCTCAACCTGGATATTCTAATCATTGTTAGAAATCTAGACGGGAGGTTGAAATATAGAACTGCGGCAGACAAGGTTTTTATAACCTTTGAAAGAAGGCTAAAATAGATGATTAATCCTTGCTTACGTAGCTATTGAGATTACAGTGTATTTAACTGGAGAATGACTTGTAAAAGGTAATTCGTTTTTCGTCTGAACTCCTATGAACTTAGGCTTGATGTCTAAGGAAATCAGACTTTGTTGAGCTACAGGCTTTCTGGGCAACTTTAGCAGATGTGCACCAATCAGGGTAAAAATAACATCTTAGAATTTAGCAGCCCTGATGAAAAAGAGCCAGCTGACCCTGACTCCCAAGTCTCTGAGTCTATGAACTATGTAAACACTGAAAAAATAAGCCACATACCAAATGGAATGTTATGATATAATGAACAAATTCAGGCATGAGGCAGACCCAACCTTTAGTGAACAAAATGGATCTATGCAAACATATACGAAACGTATACTGTTGGGTTCCACTCAGGTTACTGTCTATAAGGTCCCTTTCTCATTAATGTTTTGAGACACAGGATATAAAAGTACTTAGCTAAATCTTAACTCAGAGCCCCCTCATTTCACAATAATATGTTTTCAATGACATTTCCTCATTGTGAATGGATTTAAAGAGTATCGACTCAATCATGTCCCCACTTGAACAGCAAAAGGAAAGAGTGTAAAAAAAAAAAAAAAAAGGAAACAGCTTTAGATTTCATCAAAGGCAGAAATAGCTCCAGGCTTAGAGATACTGTCCTCAAGCAGTCTCACTGGATGGACATGCACTGAGGGTGCACAGCCTCTGATAGTGCTTTCCACCTGTGGTCACACGTTAGGATCATCTGGCAAATCTGAGAAAGAGATGCTCAGGCCTTGCTCTTGCCAACTATATCTGTATGTACAATCGTGCGTGTCCAGTGTGAGGAACTACTGCTCTACTGGAATCAGTAAAGCCCTCGTGAGGCCATTTGATGTGAAAACATCTTTGCTATTTATCTTTAGGCTCTTCAGGGTACCACACCTGAAGGAGAAAAAAAAAACAGTACAATGGGGATGATTTGCCAATGTCAACAAAACAGCCAAATGCACGGATGAGTGAGGGACTGGACGTGAACCAAATTTCAAAATCAAGACTTCCCAAATTCAGCACGATGGAAATTTTCAGCCAGGAAATCCTTTCTTATGGGGAATGTCCTACGCGTTGCAGTATGTTTAACGGCATCCCTGGCCTCTACCCAATAGATGCCAGTGGTGTAACCAAAGTTTCTCAACGTCCCCTGGGGGTGGGGTAGGGAACTAGCCCCTGGTTGAGAACCACAGTTCTAATATGAGAAAATACCAAGTCAGAAAAAAAAGCAAATGGACACCTGAATATACTATCACTAAGAATGCAAAATGGGACAGCATTAACAATACTGAACTCAGTAGGCTCTGAAAAGTATACAGTGTGAAGTTAGCTGCAGAAAAAATTTTTACGTTATGTAAATTACCTGAAAATATGCAAGCACCATCATTGTCAACATCATGGCCCAAAACTATCTTAGCGCAAGTAGTGATCAGAAGCTTTCTTTAAAAAATTATTTGCTTAGTTATAGCCACTTTATCCACAATTGCCAAGACTTGGAAGCAACTAAGATGTCCTTCAGTAGGTGAATGGAGAAATAAACTGTGCTACATCCAGACAATAGAATATTATTCAGCACTAAAAGAAATGAGCTATTAAG